AGACCCTTCATCATTTTTCTGATGAAGGGTCTAGGCCCGAAACGTCAGCCTTTCTGCTCCTATGATGCTGCTTGGCCTGCTGTGTTCATCCAGCTCTGCACCTTGTTGTCTCAGATTCTCCAGCATCTGCAGTTCCTATTATCTCTGAGCAAAGGTAATTGATTGTTTATGTGCACAAATTACTAAAAACATTTTTTAAAATGTTTGTTCATGGAATGTGGTGTGTCACTGGTGAGGTCAGCAGTTCTTGCTCATCTTTAATTATCGAGGGGCCAGTTTAGACTCAGCCAAATTGCTGTGGGTCTAGAGTCACATGTTGACTAGCCCAGATAAAGATAGCAGATTTCCTTCCCTAAAGGGCATTGATAAATTAGATTTCTTTTAAAAATTGGAATTGACAGGATAGATGGCTGACATTCGAATAGTTTTTAATTGCAGATTTTTATTGAATTTAAACTTCACCAACTGCCATGATCCAGAATATTAGCCTGAGGCTCTAGATTATAGGAAAAAAATCGGAACGTTTCGGGTCCGGTGACAGTTCTGAGGATGGGTCACCGAACCTGAAACGTTAACTCTGTTTCCTTCCTTCACAGATGCTGCCAGACCTATTGAGCTTTTCCAGCAACTTATGTTTTTGTTCCTATGCATATCATTGTTTAAAGAAAGCTAAGGAGGGAGTGCCAGACAAATTCACCACAAAAACACCAGGTCTGAAAGGTTATGCTGTGACATAGGGTTGCATAAACGTGGCTTGTACTCTCTTGGTTTTAAAAGGTTGAGGGAACACTGGTTGATGGATCTCTCGAAATGTTAGGCAGAGGAGTGCAAATTAGTGCGATGTTCTAATGGGAGGAAAGTGACAGAATGCTGTCCTATAATAAGACAAAGAACTGCGGCTGCTGGAGATCTGAAACAAGAACAGAGAAATTGTTGGACAAACTCAACAGGTCTGTGGAGGGAGAGCTGAGTTAATGTTTCAAATTCAATGATCGACTTCAAAACTGTTAACTCTCTGTTCGAAATGTTAACTCTGTTCCTTTCTCCACAGGTGCTGACTTTCTCCGGCAATTCCTGTTCTGTTTCCAGTCATGTCCTGCATTTTGATTGTCTCAGTTAAGATCTTTTTCAACTTGCTGTCATCAAACTTGAATGTTCACTGCAGAGCTCCGTGACTCGGGGTCCAGGTTTGAGTTTACTCGGTGAGCCTGGCGGGGCTATATTGAGCTATTGGAACAGATGCGGTGCGAGGGGGATTATTTCCAGCTGCTGTAACAGCGGCGCTGTTCCTCTGATCTCGCAGCCCACACGAGCAGCGCTGGAAAACGGAGCCTCCTAAGTATTTCTCTCTGATGAGTGCGGAGCTGTAGTTTGGGGTAGTTATACCGTCTACTCTGTTTAATGCCGTGCTGTCTTCTATTTTTGTTCACCAGCCCAGTATTCAGTTGTGTCGAAATGCTGTGACAATGAACTGCTTACACTATAAAAGACTTGTGTCTCTCTTACAAGGACTTCTGACTGAGTTGAACAGGACATCCACATATCTGGGAAATCAGAGCTGCACAGAGAAACTGCCCAGTGGGAACACCAGTAACGCTGCCTATCTCTACATCCTGCTGGTCATGGCTTTTTACGCCTTTCTAACTGGGGGTTGATTCTCGCCTATACCCGCTCCCACAGAGTGAAATCTGAGGAAGAGCCGATCTCCAGCCGGGACTGCTCCGTCCGCAAAGCGAAACCTGGCGAGAAAGGCAACAGGGAGAGAGACACTGTCAGCTTGGAGACCGAGCAATGAACACCTTCCTTCTCAAAATCATTCGCTGGGAATCTCCCGCTCCTCTCTGCGCCTCATTTCAAACGGGATTTGTACATGACCCTCCAGGAACGGTCTACTTTTGTATCTTTTCAATTCCAGTCCAGCCTGGCACACAGGAGCGGTTAGTGTGGAGCCCAATAATCCCTTGAAACGACCCTGCGTCTGGATGCAGAAAGGATGGTGAGTTGCTGTGGTGACATTCATCATCTCATGTCACGTCAGATTGTACCCTTGTCAGATAAAGATTTTGTCTCTATCACTGAACGAGAATGGTGATGAACGGGAAGCTCAGCAGAAACCTACAGGACCGTAGAGTTGCTCTCTCATCGAAGAGACACAGAGGTGACTGATGGTGATTTTACCCTGAGGACCACTGTGGGAGCGTACCCCCCTGACAGGGGACAAAGACTCAGTAGGCACGCGGGATTCAGGCAAGTGGAAGACTCATCACCTCAGGAGATCTCCCACCCACAGCCTCCAACCTCACCATTCCCCAACCCTGCACCACCCATTTCTATCTCGTTTCCAAAATCCATAAACCTGACTGCCCCGCTCAACCCATTGTCTCTGCCTGTTCCTGCCCCACTGAACTCATCTTCACTTACCTGGACTCTGTCTTTTTCCCCCTTGTCCAGGAACTCCCCACCTACATCCAGGACACTACCCACTACCCACCTCCTTCAGAACTTCCAATTCTCTGGCCCCCAACACCTCATCTTCACTATGGACATCCAATCCCTGTACACTTGTATCCTTCACGCAGATGGCCTAAAAGTCCTCCGCTTCTTCCTCTCCCACAGGCTCAACCAGTCCCCCTCCACTGACACCCTCATCCATTTAACAAAACTTGTCCTTACCCTCAACAACTTTTCCTTTAACTCCTCCCACTTCCTACAAAATAAAGGGGTGGCTATGGGCACCCGTATGGATCCAAGCTACACCTGCCTCTTCTTACATAGTCTCTCTTCCGCTGTTACACTGACACCATCCCTCACCTCTTCCTCCATTACATTTGATGACTGCATTGGCACTGCCTTGTGTTGCCATGAAGAGCTTGAACAGGTCATCAACTTTACCACCACCTTTCACCCCAACCTCAAATTCACTCTTTGACCTCTGCTGTTTATGATTTTTATAAATGACTTGGATGAAGAAGTGGAAGGGTGTATTAGTAAATTTGGTGGAGTTGTGGATAGCGTGGAGGACTGTTGTAGGTTGCAATGGGACATTGACAGAATGCAGAGTTGGGCAAAGAAGTGGCAGATGGAATTCAACCCAGAAAAGTGTGAAGTGATTCATTTTGGAAGGTTGAATTTGAATGCAGTTAATGGCAGGATTCTTGGCAGTGTGGATGAACAGAGGGATCTTGGGGTCCACATCCATAGTTCCCTCAAAGTTGCTACCCAAGTTGATAGGGTTGTAAAGAAGGCGTATGGTGTGTTGGCTTTCATTGGCAGGGGAATTGAGTTTAAGAGCCACGAGGTTATGCTACAGCTCTATAAAACTTTGGTTAGCCCACACTTAGAATATTGTGTCCAGTTTTGGTCACCTCATTATAGGAAAGATGTGGAAGCTTTACAAAGGGTGCAGAGGAGATTTACCAGGCTGCTGCCTGGACTGGAGGGCAGGTCTTATGAGGAAAGGTTGAGGGAGCTAGGGCATTTTTAGTTGGAGCGAAGAAGGATAAGAGGTGACTTGACAGAGATGTACAAGATGATGAGAGGCATAGATAGAGTGGATAGCCAGAAACTTTTTCCCAGGGCGGAAATGACTATTACGAGGGGGCATAATTTTAAGGTGATAGGAGGAAGGTATAGGGGAGATATCAGAGGTAGGTTCTTTACACACAGAGTGGTGGGCGTGTGGAATGTGCTGCCAGCAGTGGTAGTGGAGTCAGATACTTTAGAGACTTAGAGATAGGCACATGGAAGATAGTATAATGTAAGGTATGCAGGGTAATTTGATTTTAGTAGGATAATAGGTTGGCACAACATCATGGGCCAAAGAGCCTGTACTGTGCTGTACTGTTCTGTGTTCTATTTTCTATGTTTTATGTTCACCTGGACCATCTCTGATACCTCCCTCCCCTTCCTGGACCTCTCTGTCTCCATATTCGGTAACTGTCTCAGCACCGACATCTATTTCAAACACACCGACTCCCATAGCTAGCTTGACTACACATCCTCTCAACCACCCTCCTGCAAGAATGTGATCCCTTACTCCCAATTCCTCTGTCCCCTCCACAAGTGCTCCCAAGATGGAGCATTCCACTCCTGGACATCCCAGATGTCCTCCTACTTCAAGGACTGTAACTTCCCCCCTCCGTTGAACCAAAATGCCCTCAACTGCATCTCTTGCATTTCCCGCACTTCTGCCCTCAAACACCCACCCTCCAACAAAAATAAAGACAGAGATGCCTGGTCCTCACATACCACCCCACCAATCTCTGTATCCAGTGTGTCTCCTTCTGCCACCTCCAATCTGACCCCACCACCAAAGAGATATTTCCCTCCCTGCTCCAATCCACCTTTCACAGGGACCACTCTCTCTGCGACTCCCTCATCCCACTTCACACTTCCCATCAACCCCACCACCCCCCGGCAACTTTTCCTGCAACCATGGGAAGTGCTACACCTGGCCCTACACCTCCATCATCGGCCCCAGACAAACTTTCCATATCTGACAGGGGTTTGCCTGTACATTCTCCATTTTAGTCTACAGTATCTGTTGTTCCCAACGTGGCCTCTTCTATATCGGTGAGACCAAACGTAGACTTGGTGACCGATTTGCACAGCACTAGCGCTCTGCATGCTATAATTAGCAACAGCTTCTGATCGCTGACCATTTTAACTCCCCCTCCCACTCTCTGGGTGACATATCCATCCTGGTCCTCCTCCAGTGCCACAATGACACCACCCACAAACTGAAGGATCAACATCTCATATTCCGCCTCGGAAGCCTACAGCCTGAACATAGAATTCACCAGTTTTAAAGTCTCCCCACCCCTGGCCTCATCCCATGTCCAACCCTCCCTCTTATCCCCACTTCCTTTGACCTGACACTACCTGTCCATCTTCGCGCACTCCCCCCATCCACCCCACCCTTCCCACTGACCAATCCCCACCACTCCCTACCTGCATCCACTATTGCCATCCCACCTACCTTCCCCCAGACCCATCCCTCCTCCCTCTATTTATTTCCCAGCTCCCTTCCCCCTCCCCAGTCCTGAAGAAGGGTCTCAACTTGAATCTCCTGCTCCTCTGATGCTGTATGACCTGCTGTGTTCCTCCAGCTCCACACTGTGTTGACTCTGACTCCAGCATCTGCAGTTCTTGGTATCTCCAAGTGGGAAACTTTTATTGAAGCAAAAACTGGTTGATGCTGGGAGAGAGCCAAAAGATCTTTCCCGAATCTGGCCTCAACATGGAATGCAATTTTTCCCTTAATCTTTGGCTCAGATCAGAAGAGAGATCAATGACACACTCTGAAATTTACAGTGAAATACAGCATTTTATACTTTGTGTTACAATGATCAAATACAGCGTGGACACTGTCTTTCCCCCTGAATCCACACACCCAATTCCATGGGACACCTAATCAATGATGGGTATTCTGATGGACAGCCCCAAGTTCCCACAATTTTGTGATGTTTACCAGACATTGTACACCCTAGGCCTTGGAATCCTTCTATGTATCCAGTTCATTCGCATTCTAAAGTTACTGCCTCTACTCCTCCGGATCTGTCTCAGGCTTGCTAATCTCTAAGGACAGCTTGAATTGTATTTCATGTACTTATCTTTATCAAATTCAGTTATTCCTTTTACATTTCTGACTGTCTCAATTATATATGTAAAAGTATAAAAGACAGTTTTAACTAATTGCTTTAAGGTTAATTTCTGTTATAAAGTGTAAAAGTATACAGCTACTTCTACTGTTAGCACTTTGTAATGAATGGACTGTGAACAATCTATTTTGTTCAGGGTGTAAAAGAAGGTTTTTCCTAAGACTAATTAACTTTCTCATCCAGGTTTAAGTGTTTTTTTTCCCCAATGCTTGTATTATACTTTGGTTATATGTGTGCCTATCCTTTATGTTGAAAACTACATCGGAGTATCTGAAGAATCTTTAATTAGAACCTATTTCTTAATATTGAGTAACTTCAAAGAAACAACAATTTACTACAAAATAACTTTAGCTGTTGTGATTGCAGCTGCTTAGGGAGTTAATCTGGCTGGTTCACAGGCTGAGACTCATTCATTTACTGAGGCGATCATCCTTTCACTAATTAAGCTGTTATCCATTGCTGGTCTATCCTTAGGCATCCTCTCATCAGAACTGTCTCAGGTGGTTACTTGCAGGACCCCTTTGCTGACCTTGGAGTAGTCCTGTTCAAAGGTGCCATTATGTTTCACTGTGAGCAGGCTGTTTAGTTTTGCTTAGTTTCTGTTTGGCATTTTGTAAGTAGGCATGGGCCGCTTAGTATGGACAGGTACAGGTCATCCCCACACTGGTCCATAGCCAGATCAACATAAATTTGGCAGTCTGGTCTGGGATCGTAACATAGCTACAGCAATGCATACCTGGCTAGGTGCTATTATACATAAAGGGTAATGAGGCAAATTACAGATTAAACCAGGTTTTCATTAATGCAACAATAAAAGGCAGTCTATAAATTGTTATTCAGTACAATGTCATCTCATTTTTTTTAGTTACATCATTGATCAGTCCTTATAATTGGTCAATTATATTGGATTAGGCTTGGATTAATAATCCAGATAGTGTAAATTCAGATATCACTGCATCAGTTTAAGAATTTTTGAAATCAGAGCCTGGTAATTAAAAAACTGATATCAATAGAACCTGGAAAAAAATCCAAGTAATTCACTAATCCCTTGGTATGGAAGGAAACCTACCATTTACCGGTCTCGCTTATATTCAACTTCAGTCCACATCAAACACCTCAATAAAGCAGTCTCCTA